ATCATGATATGAAAAGAAATCATGCCTTATATAAATCATGAGATGTTACTTAGAAGGCTACGATTTTTAATTTCGACGATCTTTTTTTTATAATTTCTTTCACGTAATAATTATCTCAACGATTTTTTGTTAAGTTTTACACTTAAAACAGAATTTTTTTTACAAAGTCAATCGAACTTTACTCACTAAATAAAATTCGAAATGCCATCTTTTACTTATTTTCAAATTTTTGGCGCACTATCAATAATTTTTATTGAGCTTTTCATCATACCAGTCACATGATATATAAAATTATAGCAAAAAAACATATAGAAATACATATAAACTTTGTTGTGATAATGTTTTTCAACTTACATATTAACTTTAAATTAAATTTTATGAATAAATACATCAAAAAAAGAAGAATAAAATGTGTTTTAAGTTGAATTAAAATTTTGCAATTTTGTTACAATTTGAAAATATAACTTTGTCAAAAAAATAATTAACAGTTTTAAAGTAATAATTATATTTAAAATTATATCCTGAACAACTTCAGTTAGGGAGTAAAAAGGGTTATCTTAGTAAAAAAAAGTTTTATATATATTATCAAAATTTTCAGTTTTAGAATTTTTTTTACTAATATGTATAACCCTTTTTACTTTCTAACTAAAGTTGTTTAGAGTATAATTTTACATATAATTATTACTTTAAAACTGCTAAATTTTTTTGACAGTTATATTTTCTAATTAGGCTATATAAATTTATATAATTGGTTTTCATATCCCGCCCGCGTCGACAAAGTAAGAGTTGAAAATTTTTTTTTTTTTATAGTTAACCAATAAAATTCGCCATCTGATAATCATGTGATAAAGTAATTCGCTAATTTGCGATCAAATTCAATATCGATATGCAAAAAATTATTAACGAGGCTATTCTTTATTTAATTCTATGTAATGAACAAATGCTTAGACACTGAAACTCAAAACCGACCAACTGCTAAAAAATTAGCTAATGCGCTTCGCCAATTTTTTAAAGATTTAAAGATTTAAAGAGAATCATACTAAGCAAGTTAAAGAAATTAAAGACCCGCGCAAAAATTTAAATAAGTCTTATCAACACGACTCAACTACATTTTTATTAGAAATGCAATATGACCTTTAGCCCATATTATTAATGAAACATTAATGCTTATATACAAAGTTACACTTACTAATTTAGCAGTTTAACACTAAGAGTTCACATTCGTTTAGAACTAGAAATGGTTTTCGCCGCGATTTTTTGGTTAGTGAAACGTTGCGTTCTACTCGGGCGATTGATTTACATCTGCCAATCAAACAAATGCCATCATATGTGTTTATGTTTGATACCGGATATGAACGTACGTACGTACGTATGTACGTGCTACAATATGGAACATCAATTTTACAATGGCAATAAATACCTTTCTTGTACCATCTCAAACTAACAAAACCGGAATTAAATACTAGATCAATTAAGAAAGGTATGTATAAAGAAGTAAAAAGAACCATAATGCGATTGATTTAGGAAAACTAAAATAACTAATAACTTTATTTGTTATATTGCACAAATTACAATAGTGATAGAAAATAAAAAAAATGAAGTAGAAATAGGATTTACTATGACAAAATCAATTTTAAGAAAGCTAAGTTTTTATATGGTTTCATTTATATTTACACGCTTGCGTTTGTTTTTATTAACTTTAGCTTTCATCGAAGATTTCCTTGGGTTTATAGAGTTACCGCCACAGTTACTACAACGTGGGTGTTCATCTTTCGCTAGTCTATTAGCATCTCGGCATCCACATTCGATGCAAACAGCTGGGTAAATCCCAGCTGAATAGTATGGTTTTTCGATTGTTGCAGAGCAAGACAAAGAGTCATTAACGAAGACTCTAGAAAAAAGCTCATTGATAGAATCTTCACCGTGAGTATCAGATTCTACATTTTCATCAGATTCTTCTTCACTTTCACCGGACCCTTCTACATTTTCACCCGCCTCTTCTTCTTCTGTGCTTTCAGATTCAGATTGATCAGGTTCATCCTCCTTATTCATGTTTTCTTCATTAGCTTCTTCATTAGGACTAACGGTATTTTCTGTATCGTCGTCGACTTCTGACTCCTTTGGTAACATAGTCATCGCCAGATCACATGTGTTATGAAATGACATACCACAGGTATAAAAAATTGTATCTAAAAATCGGTTCAATAAATTCTTATCCTTTTCGGAAAGCTTCTTTGCACTGAAGAGAAGACGAGGCTTCTCACATTCAATGCAATTGACAGTGATACTAACATTTTTTGCACGTGCAGCAGAAGGACTAAATGGCATGGTATGTTTTGTTTTTGCTTTACTTGTCTTTGTTTTTGTTCCGGATTTTACCAATGAAGGTCTATGGTTTTCTGTTGTTCGGGTACCATATATTTCTTCAAATGACTTGTAATGCAAATCATCTCCAGGTATTGGATCTGGCAGACAGTGCAGCTGCTCGAATTCTTCTTGAGAGCAACGAGGAGGCCGACATATAGTACAGGACGATTCACCACACTTTTTAATTAAAAAAAAGTAATGCCTTAAGGTGCAACAATGGTCGAAAAAATTTTGTAGACGTGGCTTTAAATAAGAAGTGAATTTTGTTACTTGTTACTTTATTTCTTTTTTTTTTTAAATGCAAGCGATTTAATCAATACTTACCTTTTGATTGATATCTGCTGCAGTAAAATTTTCATAGGGAACATTATCATCCAAAAGCAGAATTGTTTCCCAGAGTTTCTCCATTTCTATTTCTGAAGCTGCGTTAAATGTTTCGAATGGCTCATTTTTGAGGGACTGACGGCTGAACATATCACGGATCATGCTAATTGGGGTTTTAAGACTTTCAATAAGATCTTCTTTAAAACCATTATTTTCTTTGGCAGTTTTACGAATATCATTCATTGTACCGACTTTACTTATTAATTTTTCTGATTGATCATTCATCTTGGTTCTCATCAACCCGACACTTTGTAATCCTAGGTTTAAAATTGACATAATGCGCTCAACGGGATTTTTCCATGAATGTTGCGGTGGTGTTCGAACTGCAACAAAATAATCGAGATCTAAAGCGAGAAAAAGACAAATATAGGAAAGTTGGACGCGAGTATATGTGCAGCGGTGATCTGGACCACCATCTGTATAGAGACATAGTATAGGTTTATCGGCTAACTCTTCTGTAATAAATATATTATATAGTTCTGTTGCATGGCGAAGGGGTGAGGAAGGTTGAAATATTGGATCCTTTAATCCTATGTGTACTTTGCCTGCATAGAAATCACCGTTTATTGATTCAGGTATATTACATATCATTGTTACGCTTGGTATAATGCCTGTTTTAGTGTAATCATGGTCAGCAACTGTAAATGTAGTATTTTTACTAACTACAACTTTTTTTCCTCTTTCAACTGCGGCTACAGGAAACCCGGGCTCTCCAACTTTACAACGATGCTTGTCATCCATAAAAACAAGATTTGTAATTTCTCGAAATTTTACAGCAAATTCTTTTTCGTAACGAAATATTGCAGATGCATAATGAGCATCTTGATGGTAAGCACGTAGCTGACGCGTTTGGACCATAAATTTTAAAGGTAAACGACCAGTAAATTGTAAACTACTAAGCCGTGTTGGATTCTTAGGCCAAAACTGTAATCTTAACCATTGTGCGCTAGGTATCGGTGTTCCAGTTGGGCATTCCTTTTCAATTTGATGCAAAAGATCATTCACAGATATTGCGGTTGCAAGGTGTACTATTGGGTCGTGCCTGCGTTCATCTACTGCAGTAACGGCATTGGCTGCTTTTCCTTCAAGAAACCGAGCCGCAACTCCCCAGAAAACATCATATTTACCGGGTCTCCCACTATTATGCTCACGCAAATCAACTGCTATTTCTGGATCCCCGAGATCTAAAGCGATTCTAACACGCTCATCGAGTTTTGCTTGATCTGTAGTCTCAGCTGCAGAGACATCACCGGTTAGCATTCTATAAATTGTCTGAAGTGATGAAGGCTTAGCCTTTGGGAGAAGCAATTCACATGTACGCAAATAGTTTATTCGCATCGCTCGAGTGTGGTAACGGGGTGCATCCTCCTGCAATTCACTTATAATTCGTTGATTTTCTTGTAAAATCTTCTCTTCATTAGCCTCTTCATCGATTTTCCATATTGAGATTGCATTATAAGCATTATTTCCCGTGTTAAATCGATACTCTCCAATTTTGAAGGAGAATGCATGAGATAACCCTTTTACGTAACGCATTCTTTGTCTACAACAAAAAAAATATTTATTAGCTTTATATACTAAAATAATGAAATTGTTATTTGTAGTGGTTTATATTGAAATTATAAAATCTATTAAAACTTTCTTTTACTTCTATGTTAACAATTCTAAGCTAACTCATTTACAATTTTATTTATTTGTTTAATTTTTATACATACACAGGATCTGTTGGAAGAAATTCTTCAAGATCAACTGGTTTCCAGAGCGGTAAATCGTTAAGTAATTGTTCAAGTTGATAATATTTGGTTCTGTCTACGGGTGCTACCCAGAAATTTCGCTTATGAATTTGTACTGTTGTAGCCTGATCGACGGTTCTTACAGGTGTTTTTGATGCATGATTAATAGCAGTAATTTCACGTTGGCGTTGCAAAAATCCCACATAATCCGAGATAGCCACGATGAAACCATCTAATGCATCACGAAGCCAATTGAAATTTTCCTTTAGTATCCATGATGAAGTAGCATATGGAGCTAGGGCTTGACAATGTAAATTTAATTCGTTTGCATCAAAGGGTTTTCGTGAGTGTTTATGTGCTTCTGGATTTGCACGGCCAAAAAACTCAAGAAAAAGTTCAGGTATATGATAACTACGATCTTCGAATTTCTTGTAATCACGCATATCGATATACCAAATCGTTTCAGTCAAACAAGTGACAAATTGCTTTCCTTGCGTATCAGCATACGACTGTATAGACCATCCTCCACCATGACGCCGAATCCAATCAACAATATCGCTACGCAAGTTTAGTTTGCGATTTGATTTTTCTAATTGTGAGAAGGTTGGAAAATACAATTTGGCTCGGTGCGCATTTTGCATTAGGATCGTGAAGTAGTTTCGCTGCGGTTCCAAATTTGACTTTACTATATCTGTTTTGAGCCGAAAATGCACATATATTCCTACATTTGTTGTAACTTCTATAATATTACAGTTAGGGCTGACTTGGGTTGCAGTTGCATCTTGTGTCTTGCTTATTTCAATACGCTCTATTGTTTCCGGATCTATGATGTCAAGATTACGCTCGGAAGATAGTTCTCCAGTTGTAAGTTTTATAAAAAAATCTTGAATTGTCATTTCATAAGGAATTGGATGAATATACCATCCATGGATAATTTTTGATCCTTTAGAGATACGAATGCTTGCAATCGGCATGTAAAAGAGAATTATTATTTTTGAGATGTTTGTTATAACGAAGATAAGTAAATTTATATGTTTAATTTATTTATAAAAGTTGCTTTCAGTTTTTAGTTATTATTTATTTGTAGAATCGAAATTCTGAGAAGCTTTATTAAAGGTCAAGAGATAGAGTTTAAATACACTTCAATCGTCTCACAGAGACGCTCGAATAAATTTCCTTTTTTTCACCTCACGTAAAGCTTTAAACTTCAACAATAAGAAGGATGGTGCAACAAAAAGATTAGTTGAATGAATTTCTTTTTACAACTCGAGGAATATTATTTTACAACCACAAAAGTACCACCAATTCATCGAAGAATATCTCATTTTTCAACAACTGATTATCAGTGGATAGAATGAATTCCCTTTTTTACCTTGCGAAACCCTTAAACTTCAACAATAAGACGGACAACAAAAGATCGTTTGAATAAATATCTTTTTTTACAATTTTAGAGAAACCTTATTCCACAACTACAAAACCCCAGATCCGCTATTCCATTGAAGAAAGTTCTATTTTTTAATACTGATTATCAGTGTGTAGAATAAATTCCCTTTTTCGCCCCACGTAAGACCTTAAAACTTCAACAAGATTGCATAACAAAGTCGTTTGAATGAATTTCCTTAAAATAATTTTGTTTTACAAAGGTACAAACCCGCCAATTCATTAAAGAAACATTTCCTTTTTCCAACGACTGATTATCAGTGTATAAACAATTCACCCATTCTTCATACCATCAGGCCTCATATCGCGTAATATCCTTCATCTTGATAACGACCATCTATTAAGAAACGTTGACAGGTATGCTAGAATTAAAAATAATAGTAATTAATTTATGTTGTTCTAAAAATGGTAATTAATCTATGGTTCTCTAAAAATGGTTTAGAGCGAATCTGTAGATTACATTGCTTAAAGGATTTTTCAGCAATACGTCCATTAAGAAGTGTCAACAAATATGCTGGAATTGGAAATTATAGTAATTAATCTATAATGCTAAAAGAGGTTAGCGTGAATCTGTCATATCATTTAAAGGATTTTTCGGTAGTACTACGATTCAGATTTTGTATAGTTAATACGAATTTATATATTAATATAATCAAGGAACTAGCTGAAAA